CACATATATAGTTAAAATATAATAAAAACTATAACCTAGTGCAAAGAATCCTTTACATTTGCAGGTCAAGCAATTGTAATCTTACACACTAACCAGTGACGTTCACATCGGCGTAAAATGTCGAATGCTTGAAATGTGTCCATTCACAAATAAAATATATTAATGGCTCGATCGCTTTTTTATTTGCAGGCGGCTGCAGCAGATGGTGATTTGTTGCACCACTTTTTTTTTACCAGGTAAGGCCCACTGAGCTATACAGCTCATTCTCAGAAGCGACCTGGCCACAAATGTTAGCTAAATTGAAAACTAATTTCTTCAGAACTGAATTTTGTGTCAAGTCTGTTGTCCCCCCCCCCCGCACTCCCGATTAGCACGGCTGGCTACGTACGGTGCGAAAGAAGTTCAACATGCATACATACAATAGAGGTTTAATCGCGTGGGAATTTATATCAGCCAAAATACTCGAAACTAAATACACAGTGCACCTGATTACAGTAGTACTACACAGTGGTATTGGCCAGAAATTACCGCCGCATTCTGGGCACTCTCTTGCACCCCAGAAAACCCAGCGCAGCTGGAATAGCAACTTAAATTTTACAATAAAGGTACCGTTCAGCAGGAGAGGTGAAAGTGAAGCTTCCGCTGAAGCGCCAGTGTGAAAATATTAATGCATTAATATCAATGCAATACAAGAAAACAAGAATAAAATAAACAGGTTGGATATTATTCAGTCGGTAACCTCAAAAGCACCGTAGGACCGGCCGGTGAACAGCAATGTTGTATAAGATATTGCATTACGATGATTTTACAGCTGTCATAAAACGTAACACATAATATAGACACCGCAGCATGTAAGATTGCCGATGTTGCAATGTTCCACTGACAGCACAATTCTTCAAGTAAAGAAGAGGGCACACGATGACAAATACAAATTTCCGACTTCATTTATGCAAACAAGTTCAGGCTGCACCTAAGGAAAGATATTTAATTTTAATTAGCACAGATTGCTGCATATGTCACCTTGCCTAAATGTATTGACAATAAATGACCTTTCCTATATTTCCGTTTGCAACAGGGAGACAATTTAAATAAACTTGTCCAACATGATTGAGAAATCTAAATCCCAGCCGATTCAAACACACTCACTCACAGGAATTCACTCAACTAAAATCCAGCAAAGAATTGAAACTGCTCAAAACCCAAACTAATTCTCCAACAAAAACCTATTGAAATAGTTGTAATTGGCACACAAGAGACAAGAGCTCCATTTATCGCTGTGAGAAGGCAACAGCAAAGTGTTGGCAGCAACTCTGAAGGTGCAAGAACAAAGAAGAGCTTTTTGAAAAGCTCAGCAACAGGTCTTGCCGGCTCTGAAATGCATTTTTATTGCACTTGCCCCAGAGTTGAGGATGGGGATTAGAAGTACGTGAACACGACAAGAGAGAGCCGCATGTGACAAGACCTCAAGTTTGCAGTCACACTGTATTGCCCACACTCCGACCGACGCACCCATCCGATCGAACATCGCACTCCCGTACTTCTGCTTGTAAAAATACCAGCCCGTCCTTCAACCACCCACCCATGCGTAACCATACGATTTCTGTTTCTATGCACGGTATCTGTAAAACAGTTTGCAATAAAGACAGCGAACTGCACTGCCATAAACCTTACGCAAGCCCGGGTTCAATCGGAGTTGCTCGTTCGCGTGCTAAATTCACAAATGCCGATTGGCCATCGCTTGCAAAAATGGCTTTTTCCTCCCTCGTCAAGAGTTCTTGTCACCGTGCACAATCGAGAGATTGAGACTTTCTTGTAGCAAAAGGCAGCCATCGATCGTTTGCTATCCTTAGCTTCACCCTGCTCTACCCGAGGCCCAGTGAACAATTGTTGCCTGTGTGGAACTGAAGCACACGCCATGGTTATGAAATAAGCGCACGCCATTTAAAACAGCCCATGAAAGCTGCGCTAGGCCAAAGGTTTTCTTGCCTGCAGGCGTCTTGCTTTATCCAAACAAACTCCACTACATTTTCATGCGAATTTAATGCTGAAAGGCACATTCAGATCACCTACGTGTGCCACGCTACATGCAGCCAATTTTTCTGAAGTGTAAAATGGCATGCGGTGTCTATGCTAAACTTCCATAGGAGGACTGTTGCCGACCACAATTAAAAAACAATTATTCACCCGCTTTCACAAAATGTTCTAGTCAAATCTTTTTTTTGCAAGCGTTCAGAGGCCCGGCGGCACAGACAACTCTTTTTTTATACTATCTTCAAATCCGCACGCACATGTGACTTGTGACAGCTTTGTGCCAGGTATTTATAAAAGGTAAGTACACCACATAGGTTGTTGGCCAATCAGTGTTAAGATTGAGTATCCATCTCCCCTATTTGTGTTTTTTCTTCGAGACTTCCACTTGCCTTCAAAATATTTAATGAAAAGTTCAGTAAATGGCCGAACGAGGCCCCCTTTTTGAAGGGGAGAAAGAGCAGCATCTCGGGTCTCATTATTACCTAAAAAACCTAAAATACTCGGTTAAAGGAGAGGGGGTGGAAACTTTCCGCAAAGTGAGCAAAAAATAGATCGTCTTACCCGTAGCCTCATTCACGTAAAACTTTAACACGTTATCAGAAGAAATGGCAGTTCAGCAGTCTGCGGTGTCCGCAGCACATACCACAGAAGGCTTAAAAACAAGCTTATCACGTCCAACACTGCTCCCAGCAGCAGCAACAGAGGCGGCGTAGTTTAAACGCAAACTGCAGGGCTGTACTGTACGTAAAAAAATGCACAACCACAGCATGCAGAGCAAAGTGGTCCAAAGTGATGCAATGGTCAAAGCGAACTGGACAGAACACATTTCCTCGGGCTCCAACCATGGGTGCATAAGAAGAAATATTTTTTTAAATCAAGCAGCTATTACATTCCACGTGAACAATTCTAGCATAAAGATATATCATAATGGTTAAACTTAAATGTGACCATGAATTGCAACAAATCACCACACTGTTGGGAGTGACTCATTGCATACCTAATATTTAGAATAAAAACATCACGACTTTTTTCAATCTTTATTCATGCGTCTGTCAGTTGATTGAGAAAAGTCTGAAAATAATACAGCAGTACTCTAAGAGTGCAATTTTGTATCACCGATCCCCGTTTAGTTTCTGTGCATTGCACAAGGTGGCGGTGGGACAAAGGCCTAGCCACCTTTGTTTCCCCGATAGGCAATGACCATTTAGTCCTCTTAGAGTATTTGGCTGCTATAAATGTCCACGTAAGCCACTTCATTGGGCTATCATTTGCGGCCAGGTCGCAATATGGCTCAGTGTGCCCTAACTGGTAACATAAAAATAGTTTTGTTTAAGACTTGGCTAGGTCCTAGACAGTAACCACTGCTCGTGTGCATGCCCAAGATGTCTAACAATCCCTTGAAAACACCATACTCTACATTAAGTGAACCTAACACTGTGCATACACAAATATCCCCCATATAGCCTAAACAGATTATTTGGGGCAAGTGCTGTTAGCGAGCACCTATGAAGGCCAGAACGGCACACGAGGGGGTGGGTGACCAACACCATGCCCGGGCATACACATTAAACACACACCAGGATCTACATTATACAAGCTGTTGGAGGAGCGTATAGGCGTGTTCAATGGCATTCTAATTAGTTGCTATGAAGGCACGTCGACGAAAAACGCGCAACCATTAAGTGCCGTGTACAGTTTTTGCATCTCGTGACAAGTCTGGGCGAGGATTTGCTTCGGTCCGGGTGCCTCAATTTTGTCGCGTCGTGCTGGCCCCGCCACTCAAGGTGCAAGCGCAGCGGCACACCCTAAGCTATGCACCTCGCGGCGACTCTTGTTCATCGCGTCGCCGAAGGTGACATCTTCCAGCTGGTGAGGATTTTAACATCGGCAGCGGCAGACGGGATAGGGTGAGCGGGTGGGTGGTTCGCACATATTGCTAAAGAGCGGACCACGCGTGTCTGACCAGATGGGTGCTTCATAGGTTTGCTGCGGGGCGCACAGCTCGAACGAAACGCGTTTGGTGCTTCGACGGTAAACCTACACACGGGCGACTTCCTCGACGTGCAAGAACGTTTTTCGCAGCGAGGAAGTTGGGCAATGACCACCAAACCGGAGCTATAATCGTCGTCTCCATTGTCGTAAAAAAAAACTTAAATCGCTGCCATCAACGTTATCAACGCTTTGTCGGTCGGGTCAAATTGCTTAATGCATACTGTAGTGGGTTGTAAAGCAAACTACCCACCCCACCACACCATTGATAGTAGTTACAGTGTTGTAGCCAGAGGCCAGCACCGGTCAAAGAAATGGGGCCAATTCCAGCGAGAAAAGTCAATGCACACACTGTATGGCAAGTACTACACTCAGCAAAGGAGCTGCAATAGCGCGATAAAGCCACTGGTGGGTACATCGTCACCTCTGAGTCAAATAACACCCGTTCAGAGCTTGGCACAAAAAGTAAAAAGTTTTTCGGGGGTGGGTCAAAGATGAGTTGAGATCATTTCACACTGGTGTATTCCTAATTAGGCAAAGACCCTTGCATTAGCTATTACTCGTGATAATCGGCTTAATAGCTTAAGCAATTACAATTTGGTTCTTTAAAGTTTAAGGTCTTAATTCGCATGTGGGTACAGACAATGTTTGCCAAATGCTGTTTAGGTGTTTGCATTTGCGCTGTGTGGCTCTCTCCGATGCGTATTTGGGTTGCACCGCACGTATTGTTCGACACAAGGTCCGATGATTCACTTTAGGTACTGCGTAAAAAATATCCCCCTTCAAAATCTGAAGCTCCCAGGGCCATGCGGCGAAACGCCGGGCATCATGCCAAGCAACACCGGACATTACATAACAACGCACAAATTATATTTTTTTGTTAGCGACTAAAACATTTAGCGAAAGCAATTTCCCCTTGGCTTGCACCGATCGAGACAAAACTCGTCATGGCAAAAAACACAGGGCGCGCCAACTCTTACCGTTGGGATCTGCTGCAGCGGCCCCCTGCTCCACACCGCCGGACGCGACAGACGGTGGTGCTTGTGGCAGGGGTCGTGGCGGGCGAGGCTTGGGGGTCGGCGGCGCCATCTTCACGGGGCCCAGGTACTCCACGTAGGTGCCGGGGAATTCTCCGTGCTCTTTGGTGCGCTCGTTGATGCCCGAAATCCAGCCGATCATCTGCGGGAAGCGCTCGGCGCCTTCCTTGGTGAAGTTGAGGGCCAGCAGCGAGGCCTTGGTGACAACGAGCACGTCCCCGGGCAGCAGGTCGATGTCCTCGTTGCGCTCCCGGCGGTAGGCATACAGGGCCCTGTACTTGAAGCCTTCGTTGGACATTGTGCCGTCTGTTTTACAATCTGCGTCCAAGTGCCTTTGAATAATGCAAGTGTTGTTGGTTCGCGCAACAAAAAATAAACCGAAAGAAAAGAAACCTAAACCGACAAAACTTGCGCGATTCCTCTCCTCCACAAACGATTGTCTTCCAGAAGCACGGCCGCTCAAAGCAGCTCCCCCCCCACTTGGGATGGTGTCGATCCTCCTTCAACGGAAGAAATTACGCAAATTTGGAGAACGTGCTAACGAGAAGACACTAAAAAACGACGATGAAGAGGAGCAGGGGGATGAGGATGGAAAGAAATATAGAAAAAAAAATTACAAAGTTAACTACACACGGGCGCCGTTTGTGGCCACATGCAGGGTGGCGCCACGGGCTGCGTTGCCGGCGCGCGGGTGAGGGTGCTGGGCTCGCTGTGCTGTCCCCTTGGGTGGACGGGGTATCTCCGCTGCTCGCTCCCCGCTGTCTGGCGTGCCAGAGCCCCGTCCCACTCGCGCATAGTACTCGCAAGCCAGTGTCTCCTGCAGCTAACGTCCAGCCTATCGAGCAGAGGGGCCACGCAAAACCAAGCAAAGAGAGACAAGAAAACGCCATGCATCGTATTCTTTACGTCAAGCGCTCTCGGGGCTAAAATAAATACGAATTTTAAAAAGCAACACTCGATTAATCAACGTATTATTCCCAATGCATATATGCAGCAGAGGGCAGAGCAACTAAATTCATTGTTGGACTAAACTTATATGCGCCCCCCCCCGCCTTCATAAACCCGCACTCAGCAGCGTGGCGAGAAATGGTCAAATAACAGCCGTGTCCGTCACGGCACGGGCTGTACAAGTATATATGAATGATGCGTTAACAATATTCTCAATGGTATATGAATGCATGTTTTAAAGCGTATTTGTCTAATACTTATTTTGGCGTTTCAGTACCAAAGTGTATGAAAGATAACAGAATATGGAACTAGTTTGAATGTACACTAAACTTTGTGTTAATTATTTGACAAAAAGATTGCTCATAATTACGGGAACACACAATTAGTGCAATAATCGTTGCAGTGCTCTTGAGGACTTCATGCAAACGATTAAACCCACTTTTACCCCGTCACACTGCTTAACAATGTACACCTTATGAACGTTAACATATTTCACAAGGATAACGTGTTAATAGTTTGCACACCGCGCTATGAATCTGGCGATCCGAGTTCAATTCCTCGCCACGGCTGACAAACCCACGATGACCAACGTGGTGAAGTATGGTCAAACAAACCAGCATGGTGGAAAAAAAGCCCTACGTGATCAACACGGTATGGGAAGGCCATCATCCAGCAGTGGTCTTACAAGGGGCTATATGTAGCATTTTAGCACAGTATTGTATAAAACGTACTCCGTATGATTAGAACATTTTGGCAATGGTAATTTTTCACCAAATTTGACAGCACAAAAACTGCTTATTTTTTGTTGAAATGTTTTCAGTTTTGTTCAGTGTAGAAAATACTTGTGTTTACTAAAAAACTTGTATTTTAAACAGTCCAAACCTAATTTCTGAAACTGTATTTGCCTTAATAGTCGAGTGGTCAGAAGGTTCCAAGCTCGTAGTTTTCGTCTCTGTGGGTTTTTGAAAGCATGTTCTATCATGGAAAAAATATTTATTTTCGGAACTGGGCTGAGAAGTAAATTTGTTGAAAAGGCTAAAACAAAGGTTGTGGCCATTTATATATATAAAAAAAACAGGTATGTAAATCTTACTTTTTGATATTCTCACAGGCACATATTTGCATTGCATTCATAGAATCAAGTTCTACGTAATAAAAACTGGAAAATGTTAAGACATTTGACAGTATTTATTTCTCCAAATGTTTTACTGCCCCTACCGTATTGAATACAAGTTTAATATAATGTAGGACAATATGAATTTGTATACATTGGCTTATTTGAAAACGTAATATCTCCAGCCCCTTTGCCAATCCACTACTAGATAAATGTCGTGTCGATCATGGGGGGGGGGGGGAGGTGGTGGGGGGGTGCCCATACTTTACCACCTTGGTTAAGGGGATGCCTATGACCGGTTCTGATATCACACGCCACTGATGTTAGCCGTGACCGTGAATGGAACTTCAGTAGTCGGGTTCATAGTGCTGTGTTCTAACCATGGCGCCCCTGCCTACAATGTATAGATGTTGTTATTCCACATTTCCCATCTGTCGATTGGCTACATATGCGCTCAAATCCAAGTTTCACGCGCCAGACTGCCGCTGGGTATCACTCGTGCTGTGTGTTTGACTACGTAATGTGCAGCACACATAGGAAAAACAATGCCACTGATTAAATAAAAAAGTACAGCATTATAGAATTAACGCACATTGGTGATAGCTACATCAACTCGTGTAGAATCAATGATACATTAATTTTGCGTTACACAAAATATAAAAAAACATTTAAAACACATCCATTAGTATAAATGCTTACATTACAACCTAACATTATCTATATTCTGTTTTAGAATGCCAAAGCATTTGCTTTAAAGCGTGCATTTAAATCACCGTTCGTTGCAGGGTGGACGAGAAGTCCATATATCCCCGCCGTATAGGCTATTGCGGGCCCACAGTGGTAACAGGGTATAGTGATTTCCCGCCCACGCAGTGCACGTCACACAAACACAGCACTCTATTGTTACATACTGTACAAGACATTACATTTATGTGCAAAATAATACACAGGTCCATGCATGTGCAAAATACATGCATGTGCCATGCACAGTGTTGTACATACTATAGTTACTTAGCAGTACTGCATCACATATGAACACCGCGTGTGTCATATCCACTGCTAGATTAGGGCCTCCACGTTATGCCATGCTGCTCGAAAAAGGGTCTGGGGAGGTTATTTGACCACACAGAAAACATCGTACAAACACAATGGTGCATACGACATACATATCACCACCACGTATGTTTACATGCTAACGCCGGAACACACGTGTCATATACCGACTAGGCAATTGGTCCACTCCGTGCACACGCACGCACTAAACATGTGTAATCGTCTCGTCACGTAGCCTTGATAAGCTGCTCCGAAGCTACAGGAGATGTTAGCGAGCGCCTATTAAGGTCGGATGCACACAGACAGACAGACAGATTCCCTTGGGTGGCGAGCGTGAATTCAAACAGAACGTGGCGTTGGCATCATAATTGTAATTATTTTACAAGCCGTTCGCGTTGTTACGCGTGTGTTTTTTTGTTGCGACGATGTCTCGTCTTTACACGTCAGGTGGTGATTTTTTCAGGACCATCGATCCACGAAAATCGGGGGCAAAACACACAAACGCTGCTGAGGATGTGCAACATTGCTGCTGCTGTTGTTGTTGTTGGCGGCGTAGGAGCGATTTAGATTCGTCTGTGTCGGTATTCGGCGTTCGGATCATCGTCTTTGTTGTTGGGTCAGGGTGGACAATCGTGGGTGATGGATGGTGGGGATGTGGGAAGAGGATGGACTTCATCCAGCAGTAGCATGACCTGTCAATGCCTTATGAATGCCCTACATTATAACATAACAATTGAGACATTATTGCTCACCCCACGCCCCTCATATACATCTCAACGTGCCTCCTACCAAGTCCCATCACAAGGGTGAACACACACACAAAATAATAGACACAATTTAGTGTGTCACGCCGTATGGCCCTGCAAACCTCAATGTCCCTGTAACAAGAACACGAAGTGATGAGGTGAGTGATGATGGTGATGATGGTGAGTGGTGGTGGTGATGGTGGTGAGTGGTGATGATGGTGGTGAGTGGTGATGGTGAGGTGAGTGGTGATGATGGTAATGAGTGGTGGTGATGATGATGGTGAGTGATGGTGGTGATGATGGTGATGATGGTGAGGTGAGTGGTGATGATGGTGAGTGATGATGATGGTGAGTGGTGGTGATGATGGTGAGTGATGATGATGGTGAGTGATGATGGTGAGTGATGATGATGGTGATGATGGTGGTGATGGTGAGTGATGATGGTGGTGATGGTGGTGAGTGATGATGGTGAGTGATGATGGTGAGTGATGATGATGGTGAGTGATGATGGTGGTGATGATGGTGGTGATGGTGAGTGATGATGGTGGTGATGGTGGTGAGTGATGATGAGTGATGATGATGGTGAGTGATAATGATGGTGAGTGGTGGTGAGTTATGGTGGTGAGTGATGATGATGATGGTGGTGAGTGATGGTGAGTGGTGATGGTGGTGAGTGATGGTGATGATGATGTTGATGATGGTAGTGGTGAGTGATGGTGATGATGGTGGTGAGGCAGCCACGTCACTCACCACTCACCACACACGCGGCACTCACTCCACTCACCGATCCCTCCTCGCCCTTCAACTCCCGCGAAATCCTCGTCGTGGACAACCAAAAATAACGAAACGTCCCCAGAATCGAGAGGAACTTAATAACATCGACGAGAGACTTGAAAGCGTCGAATTAAACCCCGAAATTTAAACAAAAATAAACTTTCGGATTCCTTCTTTGCGGGTTGCGAGTGGCCACCAACCCCCTCCCTCCACCCCCACCACCAACAACTAAAAAGTGATTTAAACCACCTAAAACTTCCTTCCCCGTCTTCTTAACGCTCTCCAAATCTCCACGATTTCGTGTTTGACGTCGGCTTCTTTATCTCGCAAGCGCCACCGTCGATGATGTCGATGGCTTCCTCCCTCCCCTCCACACAACGCTCGCTCCGTCGGTGTCGATAATGATGATGTTTGAAACGACGACGATATTCGTTGTTGCTCCCCAGGGTATCGTCGCACACCTCTCCACCAACCCCACTGTCCTCCCCTTCTCTTTGTGAGCGTCTTCCTTCTCTAAAGCTCCACCGCCATGTCCTCTGCTGCCTCGCACACGCAAGCGACAGAGGCACGCGAAGACGGCTGGCCGAGCCAGAGTCTGGGGCCACGGGCAGTAGCACAGGCGCTGCTGCTGCCGCTGCGGTGGCATAAATAAAGAAATAAAGGTGAAACACGCCTTTATTTTTCACCCGGGGACACTCCCCTACGTCTTTGCACGCCTACCACCACCACCAACCACCGCCACCCCCACGCCAATCTGCAGCAGCGGAATGTTTGTGGCTCTCACGCACCACGCGATGCCCCCTAGCTGCCGTGCAGTGCCACTGAACATTTTTTTAAAATTTTTTTTTTGGTATTTTATGCAAAATGAGAAAGAGAAAAAATAAGTATAACCAGTAAAAACTAAGTTTTTCACTATAAATCCTTTATATGCGTGGCGGCTAGAGTCCTCTCGTCCTCTGGCTTGAGATGGCTGCCACCTATGGGTCAGATGATTGCATTGCACCATTAAGCAATTGGTAATTAAATATAATATTTTTGTCCTAAAAAGTGTAAAATTTTGGGAAAAAAATTTCACGAACATTAATTGTCACGCACAACTAGTCTGTGTAGAAAATGTCAGCTCGATTGCATCACGGGAAGTGGGTTAAAAAACGACCGAAAGATTTTCACGGTCCTAAGCAAGCAAGCGAACTTAATATAAAGGATTTAAAAAGCTGTCGAAGGGCGGACGGGCTAATTGCAGAAATGTTTTGTCACGTTCAAAAAAAAGGTTGATAAATATGATTTACATTAAGCCACCCTCTGATCTGTGTACTTGATAGGCACACAGTGATTGTAGATTTGAAGCTTTCGTGACTGCAAGGATTCATACTCTTTGGTTTTTTGGGTCAGGTCACGTAGGAATTTTTTTTCTGTTTTTCATTAATTTAATTACATTTTACGTGACTTTACCGAAAAAAACAAAGAGTAGGCACACATTGATTGCATCATACTGTTCTGTTTGATACCGGAAGCAGGAAGACTTCTTCATAATTTTGGCAAATCCCCTGATGAAGCTGGTTGTAATCACCAGCGAAACGTCGTACTCAAATTGTATTTGTTGTGGCGTTACTCTACAACACACCGGTGTGGTGATGTAGTAACTAACTGGCACGTTCTGTTTACGTGACAAACCTCACTAATTAGCTGTGTCGGGTGGTGGTGGGTTAACGACACATTTATATTTACGCGCTCGAACCCAAAAACCTTTGTCAGGAATAATATTGGTGGCGAGAGCATACGTGTTAAACTCAATACTGTATGCTGATTGGACTGCAGATGGAATGCCATCCAAAACGAGGGAAACGCGACTGACAGCATGACCACCGAGTAGTTGAAGCGATGAGATCAGGCGATGTCTGTGCAGGAGGTGAGGCGGATGATGGCATCGATAGAGGCAGTGGAGGGATGGCAACGACAGTGAGGAAACCTTCATCCAACAGTGGATGATTATGTTGATGGGTGGTCTGTGACACTGCGTCTGGTGCCGTGCTCGAGAAACTAAAATTAGCGCGAGACACGGTCAAGCAGAATGAGAAATTATTTTTATTGAGAAGCTCAAATACTTATGCAGGCTCTGATAAATATAATCTGTTACTGCCGGTCTACGGGTCATCTGCTCCTTGGGTGAAATTTAACTTACGCTCTCGGAGGAGCGCGGAATATGGCATCGCAAACGCACACGCCTTCGAAGTTTGAGATGAATGATCATGTTACTTAAAATCATACTTACCACTAAATAACCATTCATATTAATAAGAATAATCCGCTGAAAGGACGAAGAAAAATTTACCAACACAACCAGTGTTCTCTGAAATGTGTGTCACTGAATTGCAGTTCCATAGGCTTTAGTGACATAAAAGGGAACATTTTTGTTAATGTCCCCCGGTATTTGTGAACACTGGGCACAGCATGAATCTGGAATAAGTGCAAAAAATATATATAATAATCCTGCAGGAATGCTGTGCCCTATTCAAGCTGATTTCACCTCAAGCTGGGCTGTTACTATTGGTGGGAAAAATCAGCCAACCTTATGTAATTTAAATTATTTACATTTTTGTATAATAAGGTACTAAAAGCCACTATTGTTTATAAACTTGCGCGATTTGGCAAAGTTTTACTACGAGACCTTCGAGTTATTATTATGCTAAAGTAGTAGAAAAAAGCTTAACACTTTCATTTAAAATGTTATTCCCTTCAGCTTGTACACTTTAAGAACACACATATGATTATTTCTGTTATGCATAACGTTCAAAACTACTTTTTAGTTTCGCTTTTTGAGACCATCAGCCAATTTCCATACAGTATCATATGTTATTAAGTCCACATCCTATTAGCCTTCCAAACGTCTGCCAACTAGTAGTAGCATTAGTTTAACCACTCAAAGTCTTGACTGATTTCACCCTCCTGGACTCATCAGCAGTCAGTCATGTGTGCTGCACTATTAACCCCGCGACCCGAGTTCATGGCCAATACCAGTGACGATTACCTGTAACAATCCTGGGCCTTCCCTAGATCGACTCAGACATAAATTGGTACCTAATACGATGTGTAAATAAACAGCCAGTCGTGGTGTTAGCTACCCACCGCCTTGTGTGCCGTGCAGGCCTCATAGGTGCTTACAAACAGCACTTGCCCCAACAGCCTGTTAAGGCTACTCGGGCATCTTTGTCTTGGTTCAGATATGACTCGCCACTGATGTTAGCTGTAGCTGGAAATCAAACTCAGGCCACGGGTTTAATAGCACAGTGTACTAAAAAATGCACCGCTGTTCCACTATAACCTTAGCTTTTCTAGTAATGGTTGACAATAACCGCATCGTGCCTATATCCTGTGCTTTTGGAGCACGGATACCGTATTAAACATGCAATTGTTCTTCAAAGCATTGCCAAAAAACAGAACAATAGACTGTTGTCTGGTGGCACATATGGGACATAAAACATATATGCCAGTAGCATTGTTTAATGCGAATTGAAATCAATTGCTCCATAAACAACAGTAAGTTCAATTATGTTGAGATTCTCCAGTAGCGGAGGAACAATATACCGTATATTAGATACATATACATCGGCGATGTATATGTAGGCAGTGTCGGATTATCCTCGGAGCAAAAGTAGCAAATGCTACGGGCCCCGCGCTAAATGCTTTCAAGCTATAAATTCCGGTTGAGTGATTCTGCACTTGCTCTATTACTATAGTACTATACTGCCTTCAACTTTAATGAACGACTGTGTGTTTAAGGTTAGCGATTTGTCGTATTATCTGGCTGCATAGCAAATGAAAAAATACAATTGCTTTACATTGCAAGTAAAACATTTGTGTTTTCATATTTCTGTTTTAGGGCCCCTTTATAACATATGCTACAGGCCCCGAACTAGCTTAATCCGGCACTCGGTGTAGACCTGCAATTACTTGCTGGTCGAGGGATTTCCACTTGGGGGAGCTCTGGAGAGCCCCTCTAGAGGGTATTTATCCATAAATCTTGGAAAAGGCGGGAGTATGCCACACTTTATCCCACCACACGCGACTTGCCGATCGGCTAATTCATTTCTACTGCTGGGTGGACAGAGGCGACGTGGGGGGTAGGAATTTAAGAAATTTGCCTCGCCGGAAAATCAAAACGGCGATTCTCGCAATCAGTAGTTCTTAAACTGGGGGTGTGAGATGCCCTTTCTGGGGGATGCGAGACATGGCCAAATTTTTCTGGAGCACGTAAATACAACGACTTTGTTTCATCAAACCTATGTATTTATTAACATTATACATTTTTTTTACGATTTAGAACCCAAGGGGTGTAAGGTTATAAGAGTCATTCCTCTAGATTTCAAGTCATGTGTGCTAACCATTATACACCACAGCGGCATCCTTCAGGCAATTCCACTTCAACTCAATTACAGACACAATGCAGGCACGTTGGATACAGCAATGAAATTCAGTCCTTTATGTATCACGCCACAGGGCTGTGCAAGCACATTTAGAAACTAGAGAAGCGAGTATGATGAGTGTGTGATTTTTGTTATATTTTGTGATCTTTAGGGTATGCTGTGCCATGCTGTACTTCTGTTTTTTTATGGAATCGACCTTGTATATTTGTACACACGTGGCTAATCGTTATTGTATTGATACGTCTCTTTGTTTTTTGAAATGGCATTACACACCATCGGGACTCGAGAGTCGATTTGATAGCGATCATTAAGGGTGACGCCACGAAGAAAGGCTGCCTTTCTTTAATAGCCACTTGACTTTTAGTGCTGCACTATAATCAGTGCTTTGTTGTTCCAGAGCACTACGCTGCTAAGTAATGAAATCAGACACCTTTAATTGGCGCGCACCTCATTTCCATCTGTTAGATGCGGACTCATGCTTTGGGGTTTTCTATTTTTTTTGTGCCAAAACCAGCACGGTGAATATGTGGGATAGCGCCTCCACTTTGATGTTGCTTGGAAGCAATCACGTGGTGACCTTGGAGTTGCCGCTGATTGATCGAATATCACCGTACAGCGTTATACATTTAATACCTACTTCCTTAAGTTTGAACATTAAGGTTGAAACAAGCACCAGGGTGCTCGACATTTACTTTTTGTTTTGCTTGATTTTTTTTGTATTTCCCTTGCGCTTGGGGAATGCTCAGGGGCACGGGCAGAAAGTGGAAAATTGAGACGGAGTGGAAAAGAAAAACACGATTTTCACATTGGCTTCAGGGAGGTCAGGGGCTGCGACTTACAATCAACGAACACGTGGTTTCTTCCAGGTGCGATCCTTTCTTGTTAAGGACCCCCGCGTATCGATTGCAGCTGCTGAACGCCCGACTGCGCCGCGTATGATTCTTGTCCTGCGGAAAGTTGTCCAAGCCTGCGGTGTTCGCAGCTTCCCCATCCTCGTGCAATTTCTGCAGCCGCCGAATGATGTCTGCGCGGAGTTACCAAGGCGTGCTCTAAAGCATACAGCCAAAAAATTAACCCGTAAAAACAAAGTTTTTCACTATAAATCCTTTATATGCGTGGCGGCTAGAGTCCTCTCGTCCTCTGGCTTGAGATGGCTGCCACCTATGGGTCAGATGATTGCCTGCTACCATTAAGCAATTGTAATTAA